TCATATACACTATGTTGGCAATCTTCACAACAGCAGTATAAAGTGGGCTGTGAGTTTTATAAGTACCTGTAACAGCAAGGCCAGCAAAAGATATTTTGCTGCTTGAACAAGGGAGAAAATGGCAACCTCTTTGCCATTCAGTCTTGCCAGACTGGCACATGAATCAGCATTGGTGATGGGATTACCTCCTCCATTTCCCTTGAATTCAGCAGTCTAGCCTGTCTTTCAGGATACGGGAAATCCTGAGCTAACAGCCTCATTTTGCCTAAGGGTAGGGCTGTTGTAGTCTTACAGACTGATGTACAAGAATGAAGCTCAGGTGATATTATGAGAGACCCACCCAATGAGTTCATGGCTGAGTTTAGCTTTGCAGTATTTCTGGTGCACAGATCAGGCAAGTGTGCTCCAAATGCATCATGACACTGAGCTAAGAAACACTGGTCCTGAATTAGCTGTGTCAGATAAACTAGAGTAGGTAACTGCCCCCCCCCCTTTACTGCTGTGAAAGGAACCTAAGCATTTCTTTTCACTACATTCTTCTGATTGCAAGACAGTCTGCTGAAATCGGAGCAGGGAACAAATGCATTGCCCGCTGCTGGGCTGGGATGTGCAGACTGTCACTGCATGATGTTCATGGAAGACTGGACAATTTGAGGCTGCCTCTTGGTCCACAACTATGTGTTGCAGAACTAGACTCCTGACTGAAGACATTAGAAAGAACAGGACATCCTGGTAGTACATTAGTGTAACCCTCTATTGGAGAGTACTGTTAGACTGAAATCCCTATCAATCCTAGACAACACAACTAAAAATAAAGGATTTTGAGATCTGAAGCCCAAAATATATGGAGAGCTGTAGCTGCCCCACAATGAACTAGAGGCTGGAAAAAAGACTTTTTCCCTTGTGCAAGGGCAAGCATGGGTAGCACAGCATAGTACTCTCACCTTTTTGCGCTGATTCTCAGCCAGGGCTGCCTGCTCCCTTAGAGAGTGGATGCGGTTCAGCAGCTCTTGTTTGCCCTCCAGAGCATCATCCAGGTTCTGCTCTAGAATGTCTTTCTGCACCTGGACAAGTGAGACACACTTATCTGAGAAGCTGTTCCCCATACCAACCTCATCACTCCTGCCCAGTGAAAAATTGACAGATATGAAACATATAAATGTGGCAGTTAGAAGTATGAAGATCTGCCTTCTCCCGTTAAGGCCACCACAGTCCAGTTACAAATGTCAAGGAAGATGGTGCAGTTGCAAGAGACTTGTGTAATGCAAATCTGTCTTTAACACACCTAAGGCCTATCTCTACCACAAACGTACATTGCCGGAGTAGGCAACTGTAGCAGGTATAAGGACCATTTCTCATTCCCAACCTATAGCAGGGCACAATCCCCCATTATTTTATTTTAAAATCTCACACCTAGGAGTCAGTGGAAATCTACTTCTGCTTGTGACTTTTGAAGTATTCGTTTTTAAAGTGGTGCTGGTGGGTCTTTCAAGCAAAACTGTTGCTCTTGGAAGACTTTGGGAATAGCAGATGCCAGTTTGAGACTCTTTGTGGGATAATTTTTGGCCCCAAACTTTAGGGGTGTGCATGGGTCACATGGACCATAGATGCTGTTTTTCCCATCCTTGCTATTCCTGTTCTTACACCAACCAAATTCCCCTGGCGTCTCCCAAAGAATCTTCAGAACTGTGGTTTAGCAAAGTTCTTAAGAAATACAGGTTGAGTCTCCCTTATCCAAAATCCAAAGATAATTTGACTGCAAAATGCTTGGGATCAGAATTGTTTTCGATTTTGGAATACCTGTATTTGCATATACCTACATAATGAAGTATTTTAGAGATGGGACCCTGTCTAAACACAAAAATCATTTATGTTTCATATACACATAGCCTGAAGGTAATTTTACACAATTTTTTTTAATAAGTGTGTTCATGAAACAAAGTTTGTATACACTGAACCATCAGAAAGCTAAGTTATCATTATCTGAACTGTCCATGGAAAAAGTTTTGGTTTCTGGAGTTCTTCAGATTTTGGAATTCCAGATAAGGGAGACTCAACTTGCATCTGTTAGAGATCTGTACAAAGCAAAAGCAAAGCAAAGCAGCTTCATTTATATACCACTTCATGGGATGTGGGATGTCTAAGTGGTTTACAACTGTAAGCTTATTGCCCCTAACAGTTGGGTACTCATTTTAGCAACCTCAGAAGGATGAGGCCTGAGTCAAGCCTGAGCCCTGGCTAGTACTGAACTCGCAACCTTGTGCTTTATGAGTGAGTGGCTGCAGTACAGGCATTTAACCACACACACACACAAAGTCCAGTTCCTAAGATTACTGGACAGCATAGATGAATATGAAATTAGTTTAGAGCTGCAGCACGTGAGTGCTACCTATATAACTCTGTGCTTAGGCATAGGTTTGGAGATTTCTTTTACCACACTGAAGGTTTCCAGCTCCACAAGTGACTTGAGACGCTCATTCTCTTCTCTCAGTATCAGAAGCTCATCTTGTGGCTGTAGTTCCCCAGGAGTCTTTGGAGAGCTTTCCCTTTCACAGTAGACTGACACTTGGGCTCGCTGCAGTTCCTGCTTCATCAGGTAGAGCTGGTATTCACAGGATCAGGGAAAGGGGGAAAGAAGCGGGGGTCGAGATGAATGGCACTGCAGAACATTTGCAGAACAGTTTGTTATACTCACTGTGGCATGTGGAATCATCTAAGGCAGGGGTGGGCAACTGTCAGCCTCCAGCAGTTTGTTTTGTTTTGGTTTTTTGCTTATATCTTGCCATAGCCAATTGAGCAAAGGGTTACAGGACCTGAAGTCCAAAAACATTGGACAGCCACAATTGCTCACCCTGGTCTAAGGTTTTGGTTTTACAAGTACAAAAATATTATCAAGCAATATTAATTTCTTGTTTGGGTATTGACTTAAATAGAAATTAAGCCCAAACACTGCCACCAAGACACAAGTGAGTGGCATTAGTATGCTCAGGAAAACAGTACAACATCATAAGTAAATAAAGCAGCTCAAAATGATGATGGAGCATCCTAGTAATCATGGAACATTGTGTACAGTCAGTTGAAAAAGATAAATGGAAAAGTGTGAAGAGGGTGTCTCTGTGTGTGTATCCCCTCCTCCATGAACATTTTACAGCTTCTACTAAGCCTGAAAGAGAGCATAGCTAGCTAACAGAACTCTGAACAGGAGAACTCCTGCTAAGAGATGAGCGTACATACACTATCATATTTTGTTCCAGCTTCCTTTTGTAATCTCTGACTTTGAGTGCTAATTTATGAATGTTCTGCAAGAGCACTAGAATAACATAGCAATGAAAAACTCAATCACAACACAGGAAGAAAGAGACAAGGGTGGAAAATCCTAAAGGAATTATGATTGCGCAGAGGCTCCTCTAGCCTACTATTCAGGCTCATCCGAACACTTAAAATGAGAGCATAGAAAAATTACTATGTTTAACCACTAGCAAAAGACTATGTGTGCATCTACACTGTCAAAATAATACAGTTATTTAGTGCTATAAGCTCCATCCTACATAATTCTGGGATTTGTAGTTCTACAAGGTCTTTCGTCTTTTCTGCCAAAGAGTGGTAGGGCCTCAGAAATTATAAATCCCAGGATTTTGTAGGCTGGAGTCACAGCAGTTAATGTGATGTCAAGCTGCATTATTTCTACAGAGTATATATGAACCTTTTGAGGATTTCAACAAAACAGCTTACAGGACTAGCTGATCTCCATGCCCTACCACACCTCTTCCTGTAGGCTCTGGCATCGAGTGATGGCCAGGTCCTTCTCCTGCAGGGCACTGCTGTAGCGTAAAGAGAGGCCATAAAGTTCATCCTTAAGCTTGAGGGCCTCGTGGAAGTGGGTACTGAGTTCCCTCTTCATGCGATTACACTCAGCCTCAATGCCCTGCAGACTTTCAGCCTGGGCTTCCAGTCGGGCCGTGTTCTCCTTCAATTTCCGGCAGTGATGGAGCAGGGACACTTTTTGCCGCTTCTCCTGGCTCAGCTCCTCCTGAAGGCTGCTCACTGCCTTGGCCAAGCACTCGGTCAGCTGGGAGCTCTCAATCAGGTCTAGGGAAAAGGAAAGAACATTTATTAGGCTCCTCTCCAATAGCAACAGCAATAGCATTTACACTACTATACCACTTAATAGTGAACTCAGCAGTCTCTAAGCAGTTTACAATCTGTAAACCAATTGTCCCCAACAAGGTGGATAGTCATTTTACTGACCTATAAAAGGATGGGAGGCTGTCAAACTTGGAGCCCTGGGATTGAACTCACAGCATTGTGGCTGCAGTAACAACATTTAACAACTGCATCACCAAGGCTCCTTCTTCAGCTCCAGAACTTGACCCATATCCCATAGAGCGATATGAAGAGGTATATAAATGAAGCTGCTTTGCTTTGCTTTGCTTTGCTGACACACTAAGGCTTCTGCCTCAGGCAGTAGAATTGTGGTACTACTGAAAGGCAGCAAGTTATTTATTATATTTTTTACTACCAGAAGAAGAGTTTGTAGGTGGGGCTGTAAGAAAATTACTATGTATGTGTAGTAATAACTATGCCCAATAAACTAAGGGCTTGCTCTAGATTTATTATTGGATTTAGGAAACAACACTACCGTACATATAACTGTCACTTACTAATATGCATTAAAATATCCTGGAATATAGAACAACATCTGAGTTCAAAGAAACTTAAGTAAATAGATCTGATATTATTTTGGTCTCTGGGAAGGTGATGCAGGGCCCCTCAACCACTCTTACTAGCTCAATAAAATTAAAATATTCCTCCTACAAGGCTTGCCAACACTGAAGTTCTCTGGTCATGTTGTTGTTGGGTGCCTTCAAGTTGTTTTCAAAACTAAGGTGAACCTATCACAGGGTTTTCTTGGCAAGAGTTGTTCAGAGTGGTGTTTGCCTTTGCCACCCTCTGAGGCTGAGAGAGTGCAACTTTCCAAAAGTCACCCAGTGAGTTTCCATGGCCAAGCAGGAATTTGAACCCTGGTCTCCAGACTCATAGTCCAATGCTCTAACCACTACATCATCCTGGCTCCTCTGGTCCTGCCCCTCAACAAGGCAGTACATAAAACTTACAACTTGGGGGTGGAAGGTACTCTCAACTGCCAATTCTACCCAGAAGCAAGCACTACATAGGAATAGGTTCTGTGCAGAGAGTAGAAATACTCACCACTGAAATGGTTGTGGTCTATGGAAGGCTCCAAACCAGTGATGAGCACATAAATATCAGGGTTGTGCAGTTTCAGGCTTTCCAGGAAAGCAAGGGCTCCATTTTTCCCACGGGATTTCAAGAGATCCAGCATGTGACCTAGAAATAATTTTTAAAAACAGTGTAAGGTGATGGGACTGGGGAGGCTAACATGGGGGAAATCATAAGGCTCATCCTGCTCAAAGAGAAAAGCATACATTGTGTTTCTTACAAGGAACACAATAGCAATTTAAATGTCAGTGGCTAGACTTCATTCCAGTGGTAGCACTACTGATTTATTAGCAAGGGCAGCCACAACTCTCTCTTGCTCCCAAGTTACTAGTAGAGGCCATTCTGTCTTCAAAGAGAGTATGTCCCATCTTGTGAATGGAAACTCCCCCTAAAAAATTAGTATTTCTCTGCTATTGGCCTATGAGTGAAGATAATAATAATAATAATAATAATAATAATAATAATAATAATAATAATAATAATAATAATAATTTATTTATATCCCGCTTATTGGCGACAATCCTATCTATGAGCTCTGACCTCTGTGAGATTGATGATGTAAATGGATAACTGTTTTCCCGCTCCCAATTAATTCTTAGGTCAAAGAGCAACGAGGAAACATTTGTTTATCCCAGAAGTGGAAGGATTGCACACCCTACACTCAGGCTGCTCACCCACTCGCATGGCACTGTTGGTGAACTGAGGGTTGTGGAGCACCTCTTCCTCATCCAGTTGGCCAAACACCTTGGCTTGGCGCAAGTATGGGGTAAGCCGGTTTGGACATACACCCCGCACAATCCTGTAGCGATGGCTGTCCACCATCTCCCACAGGCGCTCTTCATCCATGTCACGGAGCTCTTGATCTACCAGACTGGGGTCATCTGCTTCTGCCTTTGCCATAATGAGTACCTGGAAGGAGAAGAGACATTTGTACTTTTTGGAAGGACAGAAATCCAAAACATTTGAAGGTCTAATCTGCACTGCAGAAATAATGCAATTTGACACTGCTTTAACTGTCATGGCTCAATGCTATGACATTCTGAGAGTTGTAGTTCTGTGTGATTTTTAATTTTCTCAGTCAGAGTTATGGTGCCACAACAAACTACAAATCCTATAATTCCATAGCATGGATCCATAGCCATTAAAGCGGTGTTAAACTGCATAATTTCTGCACTGCAGATTACACCTAAAACAGCCTTCCCTGAGCTAATGGCCTCCAGATGTTTTAGCCTACAAATCCCAGTCAGCCCAGCTAATTTGGCTAATGGCATGGAATAATGGGAGTTGCAGGCCAAAACCAAGAGCACCAAATTAGGGAAAGCTTCTCTAAGGTATAGCATTTCATTACCTACAGTTTTTGTTTCAAACTGACATATAGTCAAATTCCAGCATTGCATAAAATTATGAAACATTCTTTGGAAGTCATTGAGTGAGAATCCCCTGTGATTTGATCTAAAATAATATTACAAATGGATCCCTATTGCTACAAATTAACCCAAATAACAGTGGTTGTAGTTAGAGTTCACAGCCACAAGGTTGTGAGTTTGATCCTAGGCAGGACTCCAGGGTCAACTCAGGCTTGCATCCTTCCGAGGTCCCTAAAATGAGTATCCAGCTTGTTGAGGGCAATTGGCTTACACATTATAAACTGCTTAGGGAGTGCTTTAGTGCACCAATAAGCAGTATAGGAATGTACTTGCTATTGCTATGCATGCTGTAGCAAAATTTAGGGGCTATACAGATGGCCCCTAAGGGGTAGCTCTATATCTGGGAGAGCCGGATCAGGGCCGTGGCAACCACACGCCGCGGCCCCAATCTGACACTTTGCCACTCCAAAAAGAGCTGGCAAATGCCACTCATTTTTTGGAGCAGCATAAAGCCACCCTTACCACCTCCATGGCAGCTCTTCTGTGCTCCTTTGGCACAATGTGTCTGTCTACTGTGCCAAGGGAACGCCTTGATGCCGCACGCTATGCAGTGGAGCACGCAACGTGATGGCAGCATCAGGGACGAGTCAAGGTGGCGGGCATGTGGTCGCCATGCCCCAACTCCACCTCCAGGCCAGCCCTTTTGGCCAGTCTGTACAGTTTTACATAAAGAGCTTATACAAGTCCCTCTCTATGGAGGAAATTGAAAAATGAAGAGAAACCATTTCAATGTCAGTATTTTTTAACTTCTCAAAAACTGAGACATGATTTTAGTGCCACAAATCAATAATGATGGAAAATCTGAAAGGGGAGTGGTGTTCTTCATATGTGGAGGAACTAGGGCTGCATCTACACTACAGAATTAATGCAGTTTGACACCACTTTAACTGCCATGAATCAATGCAATAGAATTCTGGGAATTGTAGTTTTGTGAGCTATTTAGCCTTCTCTCTCAGGGAGTTGTGATTCACAACAAACTACAAATCCCAGTGTTCCATAGGATGGAGTCATGGCAGTTAAAGTGGTGTCAAATTGCATTAATTCTACAGTGTGGTAGCAGTCTAAGAGACTGTAGGCCAGTGTTAAGAAAAGCTGACACTATTAGAAAACAGCAGTTAATTATAATACTAAATCATGCCTTCTTATTGATTTTTTTAGGTTCACAATAAAGATATGCATAATAAGAAACTAAGCATTCAGGGAGTAGGCAAACTGCAGGTAGATGAGATTACAGGTCATTAGACATAAACACAGGAACTTTACATTTAAAAAAATTGAAGGAAATACTGTGGGTGCTGGCCCTGATAGAAAAACTAAGCAGCAACTGAACAGAACACAATTAGCATACATACCTCACACCACTAGGAACAGAAATTGTTTTCACCCTCTATCTTTGCAAAGAAATCTGTGGAGAGAATTAATAGGATAAATGTAAGTAAGGACAAATGTACACAGATAACTACTGTATAACCAAATAAGAATATTGCTATGATAACCTAGGTAATAAACAAGTCAATATGTCTGTTGTGCTTTTATTCTAAATTATCCCTTTTGTTCTGTTGTATGATAAATTAAAATATATTTTAAAAGAGCCACTGTTGAGCAGTGATTAAGGAACCAACAGGCCAGGGGGGTGAATGCAAGTATTGAGTAGGATAGTGCTTTGGTGCCCTTTCGTTCCTCTCCATGAATAGCAAAAATAGAATAAACTGATGCTGATGCCCTAAATGTAATGGTTTACCCAACCAGAGTAGACTATTTACATTAGTGGAACCTACATGAATTTTGACTTATCAAGCTGTCATTGATTAAATGGGTCTATTCTAACTGGAACTAACCATTAGATTTAGACCTATATATTTATATTTGTTTTTGCATCAAATAGAGATAATAGAATCTCTCTCTCTGTGTGTGTGTGTGTGTGTGTGTGTGTATAAAATATACAGAACTCTGTTTTTGATAAACAGAGCATGAACAAATATTGCAAACATGGTTGCAAGACTCAAGAAATAAGGTTTTCTTTAAAAAAACAAAGTCACACAGGCTAAATAATGATAGATCATATATAGTTGCAATTTGCTGTTGACAGACCATTCCCCCCTCTCTTTTTATGCTGTTTACAAAGGGTTACAGTTGCTGAAGATGGCTGATGTTGAATGTTGAAGATGACTCATGGTTAGGAGATGGATTTCTGAGAGGATTGGAAGCCAGCTGTCATTATTATTATTATTATTATTATTATTATTATTATTATTATTATTATTATTATTATTATTATTATTATTATCCCGCCTCTCTGCATAACGCAACTGGGGCAGCTTGCCAAAAATAATCTGAGGTCACATTAGGGTTTCCAGGAAACACCAGGATTTTCCATGAATGCTTAGTTTGGAGCAAAATTGGGTTAAGTGTAGAAAACATGGATTCCCCCTGGAAGCAGTCGTACGTCATCAGGACTGCCATCAGGTTCAGTATGATGTTTTTCACCAGTGCAGACAAGCCCTTGGGCCAGGTAATGGAATACCCACATATTTTACCAGAATTATTAATCAAGTGCTGGGGTTTTGAAATGAATAACAAAAGAGCACCTACAAAAAGAGTATATATTTGTAAACAAACACTGCAAATGCCTTAGTCCACAATGCTTTCTTAGCACAAGGAAGCTACATCAGAAAGTGCTCTCTTCTTGTTGTTTTTGTTGTTGCATGTCTTCAAGACATTTTGGACTTATGACAATCAAATCACATGGCAAATTTCTTTGGGGGGGAGGTTGCCATTGCCATCCACTAAGGGTGAGAGAGTGTAAATTACCCAAGTTCAGCCCGTGGGTTTTACATGGCCAAGCCAGGATTTGAACCCTGGTCTCCAGAATCGTTGTCCAGCACTCAAACCACTACACCATGCTGTCTCGACATGCTGTTTGGGGGGAGGTATATATACCAGGGTTCAAATCCACGCTCATCCATAGAAGCCCACTGGTGATCTTGAGCAATTCCCATTCTCTCAGAAGAAGACAAACCTCCCGTGAATAAATCTTGCCAAGAAAACTCTGTGATAGATCTGCCTTACTGTCACCATAAGTCAGAAATGATTTGAAGACACACCACCATCACCACTACAAATAACAACAGTGGTGTGATTCTTTTATGGGCCACAGTAAGATGCTAAACATGCCAAAATCTCTAAAGGAAAAAGAAGGCAACAAATTTCCATAGATGAGGTAAAGAGTAAAACATTCTCTTACCATTTAAATATTTTCCAAGGACTTTTGTATGCCTTCTTGGTTCAATGACCAGGAAGTGGCAGAGAGCCATAATGCAACTATTTGCAACAATTTAAGGAGTTCACAGAGTACTCCCAGGAATAATGAAGACTGACTGAAATCTATTTTATGCACACTTACTTG